AAAACTGCTGGGAGACAACTAGATTATCTCCGCGCGTGTGCGCACAACTTCGACCTGTAAGAGAAGTAAGTCAGTCTCTTGGTGGTTACTTCCTCCCCTAAAATCTCTCAAAATAGAGTCCGTTTTTACACAGCTCACATCTACACAAATAAATTGTAGGTTGAATGTTTTGTAGGCAAGAAAAACTGCAGGTAAATTGCTTCGTAGGCAAAATGCTTTGTAGATAAAATGTTGTAGGTTTAAATGTCGTAGGTAAAAAGCTGTAGGTAAAATGTGCCGTAGGTCAAAAGTTTGTAGGTAAATTGACCTGTAACCGTGTAGACCCTCGGCTGGTTAAAGGGGCGTAATGTGATATTTCCTGGTAGGGCATCCCGTGCGTGGAGAGATGCTCAGAAAATTTTGGCAAAGCAGCACATATGTTTACGCTATTTTCAGGTTCAAAGTTTATTAATCGTACAGAGTAAAAATTGCAAAATTGAACGTACTGAGGTAACCGACAGACTTCTGAAATTAAAAAAAATTAAAACCACTAGACGCATCCAAGCACCATTATTTCCAAAAGAACCGAGCGAGTGCTGCAGTATACACTAGCTTAAGACGTGACTGTGCAAATCCATCCTAAGGAAGAATCGGAAAAGAACCTAAAAAAAGAAGAAAGAACGAGTATCAACACAGCCGAAGACAGGAAGGATGTATTCGAGCCTCTTTTTTTAACTTTTCTCCTGAATCTGAGCGACACCTCACTGACAGTATGTAGCAGAGCATTGAGAGCTCACGCTTCGCGTCATCGCGCCTTCAATTTTTTAGATGCAGCACGGACGTCCATCAAGTACAAATAGTTGTATCCCTGCGCCGTCGTTAACGCTCACCCTTTCCATCGCTTTATTTCCATATTGTGCTTGATTGCGTTTGCGTTTGTCTTATTCGTAATGGTGCATCAAACTAGTAGCATAGAGCAGAGCATTGGTGAGTTCAGGTCTCACGCCATCGCGTCTTACATTTTTCACATGCAATGTGGACATCCATCTTGCGCGAATAGTTGTATTGCGTTTACACTTTAGGTGTCTCTTTTTTTTTAATTTCGAGATAAATTAAGGTTAAGTTTGTCCGAGATATGCTATGGTATGTCCAAATCAAAAGTCATACATTGAAAAGTAAGAAATATATTTAAAGGTCTCTCAAGAGGTCTATAAAGGGCGCGTATGTCTAAAAATCGAACCGACCATCGCCTCTAGGAAAGTTACACATAACGAATGAAGGATGGGTATGATAAAGCGCCTGTACGTCAACAAAAAGGTGAAAATTTCACAGAAAAGTGTTTACGCTACAGAAAGTAGTGCTTGAACCTCTGTTCACCACTATCATGCGTAAAAGCACCTTTCTTTACTCCTAACTTTCTCTTCTTCCGCTCATTTAAGAAATTTTCCGCATATTTTTTCGGTTGTAATTTTTTTTCTCTTCATATTTTGCTATCATGCCAGAGGGGCGCGTTTTCGGCGCGCCAAGGGGGCGTATCTGCTAATGGCATATTGGCCTTATGACCAGCCCGAGCCTGAGTAGAGTAAATTTAGTGGGAGAATATTAGTAAAACATTGCAAAAAGAAAAAAAAAAAGCGCTTTTATCTCTAGGATCTCATGTGAAGAAATCGAACTTTTAGTGCCTCTTTTTTGAGGAATTTAATGAGTACCTACTTAACTTGTTCAGAATAAAAATATTCCTAATTTGTAACATATACAGGTTTGATAATTTGAACATACTTTAACTTCTAACGCATTTTAGTAACATTTTCGGACCAATGTATTTTTTCCTCTTTCGGTCTTGAGCAGGGAAGAAACTTGGTAAAAATGCTAAAAAGAAAAAGAAAACCTTAAGAATTAGAATGTCTTTTAAATTTTTCCAAGAACATGGGATTCAAGCACCCGATATGCTTTGCGGGAAGTATCAAGGACCCCCGCCACTTTTAAATGGCAATTAATTAGCAATTATTAAGTAAGTTGTTGATGAATCATCCAGAAAGTTTGCCATTAAAAGAGGGAACCTATACTACGATCGGGATGTTGGGTTCCGTTGAATTTTTGCGGAGATACAGGGTTATCAAGAAGTCACGCACCACTGACCATAACTTTACTTCTAATTTATTATAATATCGATTTGCGGTTTGCGACGTTTTTCCTCATATTGAAAGGGAAACTTTTTTAGGTTACTTTCCAGTCCTTGACCGTCTCAGGGGGAGGGAGGCGGGGTGCAACTCAAAAATTTTCTAATGGCCACCCTCTCATAGCCAGTGATGCGTGACTATTGAATAACCCTGTATCTTAAATGGGAACCCTCCAACACCACACAGGAGGTCGAAACCAGGGATTTGCGTGTAAATATTGAGTCTCGGCTTCCCGCCTCAGAACTCAGTACCTAGCTATTGCTCCTTAAAATACAGCGAAATTACACTGTATGTAGATGCTGCTACACGGTATCGTTATTTGTTTTTTAGTTATCGATGATGCACAACAGAAGCGCGGTTTTTTTTCCATTATGTGTTTAAAAATAGTGAGCACATGTTTGAGATAACGAACATCCGGCGCACCAGTTGGTTCGCACTCAGATTCTAATATTTTTCTGATTAAATGATTATGTTCTAAGTGAAGGAGCAAGCGCTATAGGGTTCATTGCTGTGCGTTTTAGGACGGTCTGGGTGTTTTTAGCATCATAAAACTTCTGTGCTTTTCCGGAGCATAGTGAGCAAAACTAAGAAAGAAACAAGGTGTGTATGAAATTAAACTAAACAAATATATATTTAAGACATGGAGTGTCTTGCCTTACATTGATTGTGTCTATCTAACCGTTGATGGAAGATGAGAGAAAGAAATGACAGAGAGGAGGATCATAGTTTATTGGTAGTAGAATTTTAAAAAAAACTTGGTAACCGATTTTTTATTGTTTAAATAATTTAATGTGAAATGATTGCATTGACACTTATGACGGGTCATGAATTTAACTCGAATAGTGAAAGCAAAAAATGAGTGGCAGTGCTCTGATTTTCCATCAACCATACTTTTAGATAGATTGCAATTGAAAAAATGCATGTCGATGGTGAAACTTACAAACTACGCATCTCGGGTTGCAACGATGTAGATTTCATGCTGCGCAATATTTTTTTTAAATTTAAAACTACTTATCGTCAACTCTTGGGACTTTTAGTGAATTTTCTTCTGTGTGTGAAGTGAAAATTCCAAGCAACTATGTTGAGTCGTTGTTCTTTAAAAAATTTAAAATAGGAGCGGAGATTTTGAAAGACCGCAAACAAAATATGTGGTTTGGATGCTTTACCGTCAATATATTATTTTTTCTCAGGAAAATACAACTTGACGCAATATATCCCTGTGATAGCGCATGTGATGCGCATCTGGGTTGCGGTGTTTCGAAATCTTGGCTACTACTTTACTTTTAAAAAAAGACCGAACCAGCATGACTTGGAGTTCTCACAGAATTTCTCTTAAAATGAGAAGGATAAAATCACTGAAATTTTCAAAAAATGGCGTTCGGTAGTTTTCCATGTAGAAAATAGATTATGACAGGAGGTCTGCAACGCCGCAAACCAAAATACGCATTTCTGTGATTTCACCATAAAAATTTTAATGTGGATTAAAAGAGGGGAAGATTAGGCTAGGTCAAGGCTGAGCCATTTTTCCTTATAGTCCCTACTAGCAGCAGGGCCCCACCCATCAGCAATCACTGCATGTGATTAGGATCAGTTACGAATTTTATTTCTGAATTTTTATTTACTTTTTTCAAAATCGAGGAAACGCACTGGTTTGATAAAAATGCAGACATTAGTAGTGTGCTGATTAAAGCTGCTATCTTGGTCCATTCTGCAGTAAGCTCAAATGATAATTATAATAATCGACAATACCCAATCAAAAGTTTGTTATTCTCACAGAGATTTATTATTTTTGCGTCAGTTCAAAGTTAGCTGGTGAGTCGGCGCTGCGAAAATTTCGGGATTTAACCGGTGGTTTCATTCAATTCTTAGCAATGGCGGGTTTTTCGTCTACATTGGGGAAAAAGCGGGATTTTTCCACCTGCATCTTCGCGAAAAATGCGTGATTTTTTCAGGGATTTTGTAAAAAAAAATTAGAAATTACGCGATAATCACCACGATATCATGGCAAATACGTCGTATTCCTACCGCATTCCTAAGATCATTATAATTTCGCGTTATTCACATCAATATCGTGGCACACACGCGAATTTCCGACTCAATTAAGACTACATAGATGAGCGCATAAAACTCATAAGCATCTGGGCGAAAACTTTTGATTTTCCTTCAATTTCGCGTGATACCACATACCTACTCCGGAGTTCGGATAGTTTTCTCGCTTCGTGTCTGCTAGTTGAGAGTGACAAATTGCGAGAATTCAATCTCAATGTCCCGAAAACTACGGGATTTAACTATCGGTTTCCTTATTAGATTTAATTTTTTGAAATTAAAAAAAAAAGTATTGGCGATGATCCGAAATTTTGCAAGTATGACTCATATGTTTCGTTAAACTATGATAGAACTGGAAAGCAGGCTGAGAATGTCGAAGCGATGCTATAGTTTTGCGCCGCTGTCAGCGCCGCGTTTGCAAGCGCAGTGTGACCGAGCCATCACGACAGTACAGAACGCCTTCAATCCAGCTAGCGGCAATATGGACATCCCCCGTGGTGTAATAGTTGTATCAAGAGCGCCTTCCACGATCGGAGTCAAGTATTGATGAACTGCGCGCGAAAACCCCGCTTTTCCCCCGATTGTAATGTTGCACACCGTCACTTATGTTCCGTTTTGGTTTATTCATTTTATTTTTGAAGCCAAATAACAGCTTCTCTCAACATTTTCCGAGAATTTGCCCTAATTATTTCAAAACAGAAGATAACAGTAACAAAAAGTAACCCCAGGTGACGTGAAGACTAAAAACCAGCAAATTTTTCACTCTCGGACTTTAATAGTTAAACTTTTGCAAAAAAAAAAAAAAAAAAAAAAAAAAAAAAAAAAAAAAAAAAAAAAAAAAAAAAAAAAAAAAAAAAANTTCAAAATTACGTTAGGCTCGACTGAACCCCGTCCCTTTCTTTCAATTATCGCAGATATAAGCATTCCCCGTATTTTGGCAGTTGACCATGGTCATTTCTAGTTTAGAGCTACGCTACACCCCCACGTGGACAAGCCTGGAATCCGGGGTTCGATACCATCCAAATCAGGGTCTATTACAATGTAATCCAGATAATGTTCGAAAAAATGTTTATGTTTCAACCACAGGATCGCGTAGGTAAGGTTCATATCTTTCCAAGATGGTCCTGAGAGTGAAAATCCCATACCTTCTGAAATTGGACTCTTGCTTCTGTCTCTCCTTGAGAACAGGTTCCTTCCTATTCGGATGTATTTCCTCGGTGAGTATCTTCAAATTACGTGACGTTATTCATATATTTTACATGACATAAGTCTTTATTGTGATTTCCTGCATAACATCAAGCATGGCTATAAGTGGATCGCGTTCAGCAGTAAAGGACCAAGCAACCCTATTTCCAAATTTAAAGGGGCAAATCTAAATTTTTACAAGGGAACGTTTGTGGGGACACATTTGAAAATTTTAAAGCACTTGCTTTGTGCTACGCAGAAAATGCACTGAAATTTGCACACAAATCGGCACTGCCGTTTTCATGTAAAAAGTAAAACTGCCCAATTAAATTTGAAAATAGCTGATGTGGCTTAGTTCATTCCTACTTAACGCGGTCCAATTGAAGAGGAAGGTGCAGCGGCAGTGCGATCAGCCATCAGAGGGGCTTAATTTATTGCAACGCAGCGTTACAAAGTTTTATTGGACAGTTTATTCCTTTGATAAAAACACATGCAAATGCGTAGCTAAAAACATTTGATGAGGGGTCAAGTGCTAAGCCCTTGACGGAAATCTTTATCAGTTTAGTTATCAAAGCACAATGATACAGATAGCACACAATTAATAAGAGTCCTGGTAATTTTGTTAATTAGCGTAACGTTGACTTCGAGAATTAGTGTGAATTTATCACATCTCTACTTTCAATAGTGAGTGAATATCGTTTGTTTGATTATTCAATCATAATCAGTTATTTTTCTTCACTTGCTATAAAATTGAATATTACTCCTCTAAAGATCTGTAATTTGATTCATCATTTAAACCTCTGCCCGTACTAAAAAAGCATTCCTATTCCATGATTTTGGAATTTTCACGGACTGCAACAATCCTGAGTTTAAAAGAAAGATTTAATTCCAGTAACTTTTCAATATGAAATTTAATTTTCTATTTTCAGTTTTTTGCTCTGCATTACGTCCTGGAGGCATATCCTGGGGCCAAATTTACATGCTGTGAACGGAATTTCATAAATGAAAGTGGTCAGTGATTTTTTATACATCCCTCATAATTCCACCTTAAGCGAAATACAGTGACTGGCATGAGCGTGAAGACTTCAGTGGGGCAATTTGCTCTAAAAGATGTATTGGTGAGGGTGGGGAAGAGGTATTTCCCCATCACTACTACACTGGAAAAAAACACATTCGATCTAGAGTGCAGACTCTTGAAAACATTGACAAGAAAAAGGACTCTTGATTCAATCAGATTTAAGCTTTACTCGAAAGGAAATCCGCTCAAATTAAGAGGCTTGGTTCATGATTTAAGCTTAAATCTGATTGAATCAAGAGTATTTTTTCTTGTCGATGTTTTTAAGAGTCTGGACTCTAGATCCAATGTGTGTGTGTGTGTTTTTTTTTTCCAGTGTATTGATCTCTCGGAGCCCCTAAATGTTCATTATTAGACGGGCTCGCTCTATCGAGATTTTGGAAATATGACCTACACAGAGTGAAATTTCGACACAAACGTTTGGTTATAAAACCGGATGTAAAACACAAAATAACCCTACCGTTTGGTTAAAAATTTCAAGAGAAAATGTCATCTCGTTTTCTTGCGAGGTTTAATGAAACACGTGTGGTGAATACCAACGCCGAAATCGGTGCAATTTCTCAGTCTCTCCATTGTTTTCTGCGCTAAATTCACTGCAAACAGTACCAAAATTAACAGCAAGGGTGTGTTTGTTTGTGTTTTACCTCCCATATTCACCAAACGTAACACAAGAACACAAATATTTTCATCAGTGTAGGTTCTTTATGCATATATTACGTGATTAAGTATATTTATTTTCCCCTTTAAACAATGCAAGTGTTCATTTTATGTCGCTGTTTGTTCTAAAATTCTACAGGGCCGGTTTTCATGATTTTTGTAGCTATCGACATGCGTTAGTCCCAAGGGCCGTTGTTGTCGCGCCTTGTATTATGGTCCGAGGTCCAAAAAGCGGATTTTGGAGAGCTCGAAGTGTTTTCTGGGGGTTGGGCCGCGTGGTGGCCAAGGGGCATACCTCCCGCTAGGCTCATATCAACGCCTTCACCGCCATGCTAAGGAGGAACACCTTTGAGGGAATCGAATGCTCCCTAACTCCGTATGAAAAATGTATCTTTGAGGGTAGTTTAAAATATTTCCTCTCCCTCCCCCGATTTTTTGCGGTTGCATTTTGTCTCAGAAAATACATTTCGATGAGATTAAATACAGAAAATTCTCAAAGTTTCCAGAAAACGTGTGTATTTTATCAGAGGAAACGTGACAACGTCTGAAAATCAATACGGTTATATACCTCAATGTACAATGGTGACGAGAAGAATGTACTGTATTCAATCGTTGCCTAACGTTTTGGGGGTGAAGAACGCTAGTAAGTAGACCGTGAGACAAGTCATAGTGTATTTTCTCACATTTTCACTTAAAATTAAACAATGGGTCGCCAAGTCAATCCCAGTTAGGCCATACCATAGCTTTTACAGCCACCAAAATTTAGTTCAACTATAACTGGGATCTGATCATTGTCTACACATGTGTCTGCAAGTAATAACACTTGAAACTTTTATAAAACACAACTGAAATTTTAAAATGTAAATTAATTTTTAATTTTTTTCTCAAGTTTTGTATTTTTACTTTTGATATTATTGTTGACAGGTATATTCATGATATCGTCATTGATCGAATTGCTAACCAGTGGCGGACCACTACTTATAGGAGCATATGCGGTAATTATATAGTTGAATAGTAGACCACTAGACAGGGTGCGAAATTAAGAACCACAACACTCGACAATTTATCAACACACAACACAACTTATCGACCTCTATGTAACATACGATGAACGTGTCAAGACTTTCCAAAGTCAATTCCCAAATCAGAAAATGATGCTTTCTGTCTACGTAAATTCACATTTTCCGCTCGCAGAAAATGTGTGTCTTTTTGAGTCAAATTAAGAACTGAAGTACATTCGGTATTTGTTATAATGGAGGAATTTTCTTGTGTTCCAAATTTTTCCTTGAAAATCAAAGATAGCTGAAATCTGAAGAGGAAAGAAGTATCGACCGTGGAACCACCAGACCACGTATCTCGTTTGCGGCGTTTAAAAATCTCCGCTCCCATTTAATTATTTTGAAAGAGAACAAATCAATATCACTTCTTGACATTTTTAGTTTTCCCTGCACGGAGAGGAAAAAACAGGGAGGTTTTCAAAATTTGACGTTGAATGGTTTTCCACCTCTCATGCACCTTGTATTAAAAAACTGGTAGGCAAATTATCGCCGATTCTGCCGTGCTAAGTAAAAACGCCGCATGAGCATTCGTCAGTTGCCAAATTTCCTTTGATTAAATAGGAATTTTCAGAAATACTCCAGAATATTTTCCGTTCAATTTTTAACAGAATTTTCTTCGTAATTAGATATAAATTATTTGAAAATATCAAGAAAAAATATTCATAATTCTCTTCAAAAATAAAAATTTTATCGGAGGAAATTTGGCAACTCTCGGATGTTCATACGGCGTTTTTCCTTAGCACGGCAGTATTGCACAGCAGAATGATGATAAGTAAATATATTTTCGCATCTATATTTCACAATTTTCCCATTTTTTCATTTATAAATCTGTAAACAACGTATTTTCATGCATTTCTCCCTTTTTCAGAATAAAACTGGATTGTTGAGGCTTTATATTATCTTGAATACCGTGAAAATGATCCTACTGATTTGCAGTATGATTTTTTGGGTGAACGTTGCAATGTTTATGTACGATGCCCCACTGAATGATGTCGCACGCGATAGGTCACATCAACACAGTTCTTTCATCAGGGAAACTACTATCTCTCACGTGATGGTTTTCAGTAAGTACATATTTAATTTTTTTTTACGTACGGTTCATTATAATTGCACAACATCTGAGTGTGTGTTTCTTTTAGGTATATTTATTCCAACCGCAGAAAATGGTCGAGAGGAATTGAGTTCTGCCCCTCCGTAATCATGGAGGTCAAACAACAAGCAACTCAAACACTCGATACATTGTATCGAGTAGGGAGTCAAAATAATCGCAAAGGCGTGTTAATAGACGTGCCAAAATAATAAACCTATTTAACTTGTAGATTATAGCTCCTCAATATGTCAAGATTGTTTGCGCTCGCTCCAAAACATTTTTTTTTCAACATATAGCTAAATTTTCTAAAGTAAATCTCCAATGAAGTTGAAAAAGAACTTATTGTTGGACCCTACTTTGCAATCAGGTTTCTCAATTTCGGGCTAATTTCAGATAAGAAAACTTTTGCGCCGTTCGTTTTCCTGTGTGGATGGGTGTTTTCATGGTTAAGACAGATATTTTAGTTCCTCCTCGGATAATGTAATCCAATAATGTAATCCAATTGATCATATATAATTCTGAAGATTTTTTCCCGCTTTAAAAATTCCAAGTAAAAGATCTGTTTGTCCTAATGCACTTAGGTGGTAACATACAAAATGACGGGTACCGTTAAAATCCGATATCAACCCCAGCCCAGATTTTTGTGATTCCAGCATTTATGACGGAAGAGGAACCACACTCAACAAAAATATTTGTTTCGGTCGATGATCAAATTCCTTTGATGAGATGTACACATTTAAATGCATTTGTTTGTTTAATTGTTTTTGCACTTTACCGTTCAAGTGCAAAAAAGCACAAGTGGATATCCGTCTTATCAATCCACGCTTTAGGTAGTAAAACGACCACTCCCAAGTAGCATTTGACATGAGAAAAATATATTTATATATATTATAAATAATTAATCGATTAATTAATTATTTTATTTATTTTTATTTATCTATATATTTATCTATTTATTTATTTATTTATTCATATATATCTTTTTTTATATATTTTCTATTTTGAAATTCAGTTGCTATTTTTTTTGCAATAAAATCGCTAGGATCATCAACATCCGAGCGATTATCCTCGATCTTGTCTCAATTTTATCTCTATAAAATCGCGTTCGGATCAAATCGAAATTTTATCACGATTGATCACGATTTTTTGTTCGATCAGCAACCTTTTTCCTGTGACTAATTTTAATTTTTTCCCCCATTTCAGTACTTGTTTGGTTCCAGACATCGGTGGTGAGAAGTTATTATGATCAATTGATGCAAAAAACTCAATTGTTAAAAGGCTCTCCAATTGGAGTCTGATATCAATTACCGTCCAACCGCAACCATAATACCTACTAATAAAATATTATTTATTTTAAACTGACCTACAAAATCTGATGAATTCAGTTTTTACACAAATAAACCATTCAACACCTCTGACTACGAAGCTTATCAACGTTTGTTATTTATTTACTTCACTGTAGTATCTTTGTCTGTTATTAATAGAGTAGAATTAATAAATAAAAAGTCCTCTTCATTAGCCGATTTTTGCATCAAGTTATGCTGATATGGCAACCACTATAATTTGAAATTGTTCCATATGAGTGCTGCCATCTACTGGATGAACTTGGTATGACCGATTTAGGCAGGCATTTTTTCGTGATAGCAAAGGGATCAGTAAGTGTCAAATTTTCGAAATCGAGTTTCCTTCAAAATCCGTCTAATCTCTTTTAGATGAAATCACTGAAATAGCTAACACAGCAAAAGTCTTTCTAATTGTATGAAAATTTAAACATCAAAAAACTATCACGCATTTATAATGTGGGCTACAAGGTCATCAGGAACAATTTAATAAACTCCAAAAAATGAATAGCGAAATATTACAAAATTGGACACACATAACCAATACATCACCGACCAATCACAATAATAAAGACATACAAATAGCGGTCGTTAAGGGGCTTCTGGAGAGCCAATCAGAGGCTAGAATTTCAACTTGTCCGATGTCCATACTTGTGTTAATCTACCTTGGCTTTTTAAAGCACACCTCATCTTCCCAACACGTCTATAGTTTCGTTTATGTATTTATTAATTGAAATCTTGTTAGAAATAATTTTAGAAAAATTTTTAAGTATTGTATTTTAAGAGAAATTTTTTAAAAAAAATTGTGTTTTTATTAAAAACTAAAGCGTAGGAAGTACCATGACTATCTGGCTTCTAGGACTGCAGACACCCGCGGCGCGTATAGGAAAGCCCAGGCGAGGGTTCGTCTTTTAATCACCAGGAAGAAAAACGAGTCTTGGGATTCCAACTGCTCAAGGATTGACACATACCTGGGGGGAAGGAAGAGTGCTGAGAGCTGGAAGCTGATCAAAGGCCTAAGAAGGGACATGAAACGGGACATTATATCTCCGAAAACAATCTCACAGCTTGACGAACATTTTAATAAATTATTGACGGAAGGACGACCAGAGTTTCAAACGGGGAATGCTGAAAATATAGTCGAGGATCACTCAATGGAAATTCGAGTTGAGGAGGTGGTCAAAGCAATCAGGGAATTGATGAATGGAAGAGCTCCTGGGCCAGGAAACATTCCAGCCGAGTTAATTAAATGTGGGACTGGCAAGTTGGTTAACCATCTCAGGGATTTGCTGCAGAAGTGCATTGACGGT